CCCCCCTCGCTCTCTCTCTCTCTCTCTCTTTCTCTCCGACTCTCCCGCGTCGTTTGGAAAATGGCGCGTCGTCGTATAGCGTGCGAGTAAGTATACGGGATTAAGTTTCATCGTTCAGCAGCGGGAGATTTATGCTCGGCGGTGGGGTTAAGATAGCAACTATTCCGTAGGCGGCTGTCCTAATTCCGGGTATAATTGCTTTTCTCCCGGGCGTTTAACCCCGGTGCGGAAGTATCTCGCGCGCGGTACGAAAATCCGGGGCGTGGGCGAGAAATGCCAAGACAATACGTTTCATCGCGCGAACCACGGCGAAGCGGCCGGCGATGCGACGTAGACGAAGATTATGCCGGTAATCTTTTAATTACCGCGTTTTATTTGCACGCTTGCTAGAAGGGACCGCCGGAGATGCGGCGTAATAATGGGATATGCGCTACTCCCATTATGTCCGACGATGAGCTGTTTAAAAAAATGTGTACGCGTGTGCGTGTTTCTATGCGACTGAACTTGAATTTTTTCCGACCGCATACCCGAGTCGAAATTTCAGTTCTACATTGAGTCTATTTAATTCTGCATGAAGTCTTCGAAGTTCTCCGAAAGTCTTGTATCCCCTTTGATGTTATAAATGGGAAGATTATTTCTGTCGTCTCTAGTTGAAGACTTGATGTAGAATTTCAAGTTTCTCCCTCCGGGAGGTCTAAATTCCCTTTGTAACGTCAAAGGGGCACTGTTAGTGCTTTTTTGGTGCTGAAAATGAGAAGTTATTTCCGTTTTCTCCACTTGAAGACTTGTTGCAGAACTAAGTAGACTTGACGTAGGATTGCGTACAGGGTCATATCGATTTTCTAAATTCCGTATCTGAAAACGTCTAATGGACGTCTAATGGATCGAGCGATTCTTTAACGATTCTTCGAGAGCGGGGAGAATTTATTGATCACGCACTTCTCCTCGCTATAGTCCTTTAAACACAACTCATCTCGGGTCTATCTGACCCATAATGTGGCCGAAGGGTTAAAGAAAAACTGCCCGGACTTCGCGTGCAATGAGGGCGCGAACGATTTCGTCGCTTGAAAATTCCAGCGTAAATTTCACCGGCACAATTAATCCCGCCCTCTGCAATCCATCGACTTTAATTGTGATTTGTCACACTGCCTCTCGACACGGTCAAACGATCGCAACATGCGCTCGAAACACATGTACATATATACCGTAAAAATGTCGCGCGACCAAGAGCGTGCAACGGTAATTCTAAAATAATTCTACGCAGACAAACGTGGCTGTAATAGCGGTGCTTATTTTTCTGTTTCAGGTACGTGACTGAACGTAGTGCGTAGTTTCGAGGGACGTTTGCGGTGAGCGAATTGCCATCATTTTCGTTATTGCATGTCGCGCGATTTGACGTCGCGCGTAATTGCGACGATATAACGCGCGCGGTTTTTATCGTGTCCGAGCCGTGGATTCGCCGTGGGCGAGCGCGTGCATTCGCGATCGCGCACACGCGGATGATCTATCGTAAATATTCCGGGCATTAAGTCGGAATTATGGATCACGCTTAATATCCTTTTCGCTGCCCGGGAATCCTTTGTAATCTGCGCGCGACGGCGCGCGACGTCGCGCCGCGGTTTAATTTCGAATTTGGCACGGTTTCAATAGCGCTCGCCGTGCGCGCGCCGAGGAGCCTTTATGGCTCAATTTTCTGTGACAACGTATGAATATCCGGGCTTTAAGCCCGCCCGACGGCATTCACAACCGATTTCATCAGTCGGCTTTATCTGCGAAACGTTAGCCGCGCGCCGGTCCGATTTCCGTCTTCTCAGCGCGAAAACACTTCGTTCGGAAAATCGCTGAAAAAGAGCGCGTTACCGTGTTTTCAATCTGTTACATTCAGATCGCGGAAAACATCCTCCGCGTTAGTCACGCGATCTACGCACAATGAAGGATACCATTGAAAAACAATGGTATCTCTTCGACTAAAAATTTTCGTTGTACCCTACGAGTTTCATTTCTAATTTGAAGGGCCAATAGAGCATCTCGGGCTATTTTTAACACTGTATAGGCTATTACTCTTTAATACTAGAATCCTAAAATTAATCTAGAAATGATTACTTATAATCATTTTGTATTGAGAGGTTGAAAAAAAACTCTCTAAATTTCTTGAAGTGAAATTCTAGGTTAGAGCGGCAGTATTTTCTGAGTTTCTCACTCCAAGCGAGATTATCTCAATAGTCTACCTGCACTCAATATCTTGATTCCAACAAGCAGCATATAATGTATCAATGCAAACAATATATTATGTAACTTACTTAACTGCAAATAGAATAGTGCGACAAATGTTAAATAATCCAAAGATTAATGAGTACAAGTGGGCAAATAAAGCAACTAACATCCTTCTCTCGTAGCCTCTTTATTTTATTTTGTATTGGCGGTAGAGATTTTGGTATAGAATTTGAAAACTCGAATTAGGTGAGAACAAAGGAGTTATAAGCCTCGTTGCCGACTGCTGCTGCATCCTGCGTCCTGTATTCCGTCTTGGGATCAATTCTCAGTTGTCGTGGTTCACTGGGATACTCAATAGTCCTATAAAAAAAAGTACGAATCGATCGGAAACACGTTGGTAACTAATTATTGCGTGTTAATTAATAACGCGATCGTCGAATGCTATGACGGTGATTTCCGATACTTACCGCACGTGCGACCGTTCTGATAATTTAATCATTCTTTTTTATCGTCTTGAAGGACTAGAATATTTTGAGAATTGTCGTCGATTGTCGCGATTTCCTGGTCACGGAATATGCTTATCATTAATTAGCATGCGACATCAATGAACAATTGGATAAAAATAACTTTATTTTTCTCGCTGATTGTTTTGATTTTCTCGTGCGTCACGTACTTTTCCGTGGTCGAGTAATTACGTCTGAAGTCGACGAGCGACGCACATGCCGCGACGCTGAGTATATGTATCGGTGCGTTGTTTACAATTCTCGCCGGGTGATTAAACATTTCGGCGGCTCTCGAGATATTTAATCGGGTCGTTAATCACGCATGTTTCTCTGATAGAATCGTATCCACGTGAGTGTTAGTGTTTACACGGTGACGTTGCTGTTTTTGTAGGTGCCGATTGTTTTGATACTCTCTCTCGTCGCGTAGTTTTCCGTGATCACGTCAATACGTCTCGAGACAACGAACGATGCACATACGACGCGGAGTACGTGCATCGGTGCGTTAGTTATCATTCCCGTGGACTTTTGAAATATTAAATCGAGCTCTCGTCGGTCGGTATCGCGTTAATTAAAACACGCGTTTCTCCGATTGAATAGTATCCGTGTGAGCGTGTGATAGACCAATGAATATGTGGAACCACAAAGCGGCCAGGACGCTGGATTGGAAAATCAGGACGGAGAACAGAGGACGTAGGATGTGGCCAGAGATACAGCATATATTTCCAGGTACGTTGAATCATTTATTAAAAGAAGCTATTGATTTTGACGAACGTTTGATGAACTTTGAGAATAGAGAAATATATCGAGTCGAGATTTAGAATTTAATTTAAAATCGACATTCATAATCTGTTGTTATCTGATTTTATGAATCTCTGATTATCCATTAACCTGTATTTTCTTAAAAAAACAAGTAGTATCTATTTAAAAAATTGAATAACGATATCTAAATGATCATCTAACGATATCTAAAGACAAATCTTGAATTAACTGTATTTTCAGTCGAAAATTGTAAATAATTTACAACCACTAATGCCGGTCTAAATTTAGCAAGAACCAAGATCTGTGTTTTTAATATTATTTCTTTTCTCACTTCTGCTTTCCTTATTATTGTATCAAATTTAAATTTATCCTCATCAATAATTGTATACACAACTGCTGTCATTGTTTTTACAACTTCTTCCGTCTCACCTTTTGTCGGAACTTCCAACGTTAATAAAAAATAATAATAATAAATTACGATAACAGAGAACGAATAAGAGAGAATAGAATAAGAGAAAACGTTTGTTCTTTTATTCAATATTATCAATCTCATTTATTTATGTTAATTATTCAATATTTGTTTATATCGTATATATTCTGGAATTAAGTAAGTTTCATAATGTTAATACATTAGTTAGTGAAATTAAGAATAGAAATTAAATATAGAATGAATATCGGGGGTTGTTGAATATTAAATAATTCCAAATATCATAATTTTCCAAAAAATGCTTATACTAAAAGACCTGGAGTTATTCCAAAGTCTATTAACAGATCTTTTCTTAAATCTTGGACATGTAAAAAACGGTATTTGTAACATTAAGATATAACAATAGTTTGTAAAGTGTTATATATCTCGAGATCCTCCATTAATCCTTTAAGTTTATTGAGTAGGATTAAGAGAACCAAAATTTCGGCTCGTGTTTGCATAATAATAATTACAAATATAATTATACACACACACACACACACTTATCGGGTGTTTCAGACCACTCGTTTAAAAACGAGGGAAGTGGTTATTTTGAAAAATGTTTCAGACAAAAGTTGTATAAAAAATCCATTTACTGATATTATTAGTTTAACCTTGAATGGCTTCGCCAAGGTCAGAACAAGATCACTTTGAATTTTTTTTAATGGTACCCCCCACTTTTTATTGCATATTCTTATAGCTTATCTCGAGAGCTTTTCAAAACACTATAAGAAAGTATTTTTTCTTTAAATAGTTTTCGATTTATAAGGTTTGAAAATTGCAGCCGCAATTAGCATTACCCATGGTAGGTATAAGGATCTCACGGTTCTTCGTAGTATTTTCTGATTCCTTATAAACCGAAAAGTACTTAATGAAAAAATACTTTCTTATAATGTTTTGAAAAGCTCTCGAGATAAACTAATAAGAATATGCAATAAAAAGTAGGAGGTTCCATTAAAAAAATTCAAGGTGACCTTGTTCTGACGTTGACGACACCACCCAAGGTCAAACTGACGCTATCAGGAAATGGAACTTTTTCTACCCCACAACTTTTGTCTGAAACATTTTTCAAAATAACATCCCTCATTTTTAAATAGGACATACGAGTGGTCTGAAACACCCGGTATATACCATTATACAGTAAGTAGCAGATACTACAAGAAGTAGCAGTATACAAAAGACGTGTAAGATTTCGAAATGTCTTCCTCTTAACGGAAACATCAATTGAATTTTTTTCGTCGTTCGAAACGCAAATTGCAAACTCCTTTTTCGGTGTCGTTATTTTCCGACGTAATTTCATACCGGACGCTCACTTTTCACGGAAGACCGAATAATGCGTTTTATTAAATACGCTTTGGGACGTACGCTATGTTCTCGTGCTGCGGAAAAGCACGCGCGACTTTTAATACCGGACATTCGTTCGTTTCAAAGCGAACGCGCGTCCCGCCGCGCGTTCTCTCGCGCTATTATTTTTTTCAGCGCCGCTTTTTTTTTCGTCGCTCTCTCGCTCACTCATAGCAGAGCTCGTCGACACGAGAGCGCATCGGCTATCTTCTTCTAACTCTCTTTTTCTCCCCTCCCCTTCGCTTCTTTTTTTTTTCTCGCCACGACGACCCACGCGTTTCGATATTTCCATCCGGCGAGCGTTGCCTCTCTCTCCCCGCGTCTCCCCCCTCCTCTCTCCTCGGCTCTCGAATGAGAGCGCACTTTTCGCCGCGCTTGAACTTGCATTCCACGCGTGCCGCTCCAGCGTTTTCGCGCGGACACTTTCTTTAACCGCCGCTGCAGCCGGTCATGTACTCCGATTTTCATATCGCGAATGACATCTCGAGTCGAGTTACACGAAATGTCTCGCAGTGAAATTAAAAATGCATAAATTATGAGGGAGAGTGGGAGATGCGTTTATTAAGATCGCAAAATAATTTCGCACCGACGGAATATGAAAGTACAGAGCAGCTTAATATTTAAATCCGAGGCGGTAAAATTGAAATGGATTAAATTAAAAAGCAAGTTTTCTCTTCCCCCCCCCTCTCCCTCTCTCCCTCTCTCTTCGAATACGATATGAAATTTATATGAAAACGTATGACTAAATAGAAACATGGAAGACATGGATAACATTGCGGATGTAAATACGATAATGTTGCGTTGTTATGTAGTTCGTCGGCGGTTACATCGCGGACAAAGTGATTTCGATGCGGGCGACTGACCGTGATTCATGATTAATTTTCTAATTCGGCACGGCCGTTTGATCGATCGAAATGTAATTCCGTTTGAGGACGTTCTCTAATTTTGTGCGTAAACTGATAGCGCCATTTTGATAAATTATTACCGCAGAATTAATCCACCCGCCGGATTGCGACTGCAAACACTGACAAATATAATCAATTACATTAGCAACTAATTAATCTTGGACCGTGTGCGTTCACGAAGCAGTATAATTAAATATGCCGCTGCGACTACGCACACAACACAAAAGGGCGGTTACGGGGGCAAATTGAAACTCAATAATCCTGCGGTTACCGTTGATCCACATGACCTGTAAAAAGAAAAGAAGCGCAAAGAAAGAGAGCGTGCGAGTGAAAGAGAGAACGTTGTCGACCGCGAATTACCGATTAACGTTCATCAGAGTGGCCGGGGAGCAGTGTGAAAGTCCGGTGGTTGAAATATCAAACGTTTAATTGTCCGCACGAATGTAATTCGCTAGAACGCAGCGAGAACGCTCATACTAATTCCGCTTCGTTTGCAGCGCGGATCGATGGCCAGAAATAATTGAAAAAGGGCGTTAATTCCCCCGTATTCGATCACCAGGAGAGAGAAAGAGAGCCGGGCAGACAGACAAGCAGACAGACAGACAGACAGATCGCGATCGCTACCGTTAAAGAGCGACGTCGCGGCCAGCGGGGACCGTTACTCGACAGCGCGCTCGGCCGCGAATAATAGAATTCCGCGGGATCGAAAAATGATGGGGCTTCAATTTGTATTCGCGTTTCGACACCGCCGCGACGCAAATGTATGTCGGCGCGATACATCGGCGTGATGTATCGTCGGGGATCGTCGGGTAACGCGACGCGGCAACATCTATCACGCCGCGCGGATCCACGAGACCGCCGGGGGCGGCGAGATCTTCGGACATTATCGAACAACGCCATTGTGCCCGCGTTTATAATGATCGCCGAACGAATTGGCGGCGATACATTTTGTCGCGCCGGACACGGACACATGTGCGCCCGTGTGTGCGCGTAACGAGCGACCGGTGTATTTTTAAGCAGCCCTCGTTCATCACACTCGATCGTAAACATCCGACACACCCGATTCGGTTTGAAACATGTCGCCGGATGGATCGGCTGTCACCTTCCTAAGACCGGCCGTCGTCTTCGTGCAACAATAACTGCGATGGGGGATTACCGCACGCGCGCGTTGCGATTAAAGATTGTATTGTCTGTTAGTATTTTGTATTATTATATTTTATGGATTATGTTTTGCAATTTCGTGCTTCACTGAAATCTTATTCTTCGTTTAGAAAATATTAAAGATGGAAATTAAAAAAGCAGCACGCTATTCTTAAGAAATATGTATAGAAAAAAAATATATATATAAACATTAATTATAAATATTTCAGCTTTCGAATGGCCAATTTTTTTCTAATCGCACGTGCAATGAATTAGATGATATTTCAATACACGTGGTAAAATTTTCATCGAATTTTTATCAAACTCATTTAACCCAAGCTCTCTCTGAATCACCGTCAAACTTTTAGCGTCACGTTTAAATGCAGTGTAGATCAATTTGCTATCTTTTCATTATTTTGAGTCAGTTGGACGGTACATCTTTAATCCCGCGTTCGCTGCACAGGAGGGTAATTTCTGAACTCGCTCGACCGCGATCTCTGAAAATTTCTCAAGAAGAATTAAATATCGTCGGCTGCGTCACGTAACGGTTGGGAGTTCGAGATTTTGTTTTGGCCATTTATCACAATAAATCTATTCGTACGCGTGCATCATCGGAGCGCGCGCAAAATGCGGGAAGCGTAAACACGCATTTTACTTTACGTCAGCCGTAAAATAAAACGCGGTGCGAATTCATAGTGGGCGAAGGCAATAAATATCCCTCGTATGCGCCACTTCCTCTTCCATGAAGGGAGAATTTTCCCTTATCGGGAAAACACGCGAAAGACCAGGATATCCCAGAATGCCTGCGCATCGATTATCCCAGAACCACGCTTTTTCAGTTACGCCTACCCTCTCGAGTTGTACCTACATCCTCTCTCTCTCTCTCTCTCTCTTGCGAACACGCGTTCACCGATGAAGAACGTGCGAGAGTCGTCGAGCAATCCTCGACGTTGCCGGGCACGCCACATGTCGTGTCGCTCGAGCTCACTGGCTCGTGTTAATAATCCACGGAAGCGAGCGCTATCGCCAAAGCGAATTCCGGACCGAGCGGATCGCTAATTTAAATATTAAGCCATGCGAGGCCGATGTTAATAACGGCGACGCCGGACGTC